AATGAATGAGCGAATGGCAGGGAGGAACCTGCCGTACTTTGAGCGCTTACTTCATGCCAGGAACGAAATTTTTTGCATACTGTTACAGAGTGTATGCTTGTGTCCCTGCCCCCCAAATTCATATGTGGAAGCCCCTTGTTAACCCCCAGTGTGATGATATTTGGAGATAGGGACTTTAGGGTGGTAGTCAAGGTTAAATAAGATCCTAAGGGTAGGTGTTGGAAGATAATGACTATGAGGATCACACTTTCAGTGACACAGTCAAGGTAAGAGACAGAGCATAGTCTCTTCTCTCAGGGAATAAAAAGATTGAAATTGTTGATAAGTAATAGGGCTTATGGAATGGAGGGTGTATTTGTTTCCTAGTAGTCCTGCTGTAATAAATTACCACAGACTGCATGGCTTAAAACAACAGAAAATGTATTGTCTCATAGTCTGAGAGCTGGAAGTCCAAAATCAAGGTGTCTGCCGAAGTGGCTGAGGTAGAATCTATTCCATGCCTCTCTCCTAGCTTCTAGTGACTACTGGCAATCCTTAGCATTCCTTGGCTTGTGGCAGCATAACCCCAGTCTCCACCTCCATCTTCACATGACCTTCTCCTCTGCATGTCTTCTCCTTTTATGTCTTTTATAAGAACAACTGTCATTGGCTTTAGGACCCATTCTAACCCAGGATGATCTCATCTCGAAATCCTTAAGTTAATTACATCTGCAAAGACCTTATTTCCAAATAAGTTCATATTCATAGGTACCAGGGGTTAGGACTTAGATATATCTTTTGGGACCTCTATTAAACCCACTACAGAGGTCAGATTTTTTTTAAGATGAGAGGGATCTAAGCTAGGTTTTATGTGAGAAAAAGGATAATTGACAGATCAAAACCTTTAAGGAGGCATGAGCCAAAGGTGTCAGTGGAGAAATACACTCTAACAAGAGGAGGTAGCTCTAATTCTCTGAGACAAGATGTGTGAAGGTAAATAGATTTGAAGGTGGGGAGCTGGATGTTGACAGATATCCTCTGTGATAACCACTTATTTACTCTGTGAAATAGAAGACCAGATTATCTGCTAAGAGTGAAGAGGGAACTTGAGAAAAGTGGTGTGAAGGTTAGACATAACACCTGTGATACTAGAAGAGAGAAAGGACCGGGAACTTACAGCAGGATGGCCAAGAGTCATATTGAGCTCCCATTTGGCATTGGCCACTGTATATTTGGGGTGGCACCAATCTTTAGGTCAGGTCATAGAGTGATACTAAAACCTAAGGATAGGAGCAGCTGATGGAAAGAAAACAGTTGGAAATTTTTAAGAATTGATGGATTGAGTGTGGCTGCAAAAAATACAATAAAAGGATATATTAAGAATAAGGGAAGAGGAGAATCCAAGAGAAGTCCTAATAGACTGCGGCAAGTGGAAGAGATGGAAGAAGGGGTGTCCAGATGAGATTGAAAGACAGATATTATTGAACCAAGTCAATAAGAGGGGTGAGGCGAGGACAGAAAGATGGGTTGGTGACTTTCGTGTTTCAGAGTATCTCAATTCCAGGTTATGCAATGCCGCACCTACATTGAGTTGGTGGTAAAAAACTTTGAAAATAAGAAGCCAAGGAAGTATCGGGCTGGGGTGTTTGGGTGAGGATGGGGAGACTGTCAAATATGATGGCTGGTATTGATGAGTGCAAAGCAAAAAAACTTAAATCCTCATTAAATGTGGGCAGCCGGCACACGGGTCACTCCTAGCTCTGAACAATGAGAGAGAGCAGAGTGAGTACCCCTCTGCTTGGGGACAGTCAAGAAAAAGTTATTTATTGGTTACTTGGTTATGGAATAAGAAAGGCTCTTTCTCTTTCAGTGGGTTTTATTCACATACAGTCTTCCAAAGTTTGCTTTCAGTGTCTATCCTGGTGACTTGTACAGTGCAGAACCCTTTGGGCCTCCCAGCAGCCCAGTGCTGAACCGGTATCTCTTCTTCCACAGCATGAGTTGACTCTTTTTGACTTGTGAAGCTTGTAGGTATTTGTCAACTTGTAACATGATATAAATTAGGAGGGTAAAGATGTTTTCTAGAGAGCTACACAGACTTCATATCCCTGGTTACTTTAAATGGTTCTTAGGTATAGCTCCTAGGGATAAATCTAAGTATTGTGAGAACTAAACTTAAACATAGAACTGAGTTTCTACTCTTCTCCTTTTCTGCTGTTGGTTTCCTGAGTGGCAATCATTTACCTTTCACTAAAGCTGACATACTTCTTTTTATAAGTCCTATGGGAATCAATGTCTACTCAAACAGTTCTTTGGCAAAGAGCAATTACAGAATGCTCCATATGCAGCTCTCAGATGAGGGAGGTAAAATCTCATGGATGATAAGAATGAAGTAGGTGATTAATGTTTTATTTGTCAATACTATAATGCTGCAAAAGTGATTAAAATAATTTTACAGGTCAGTACCTTTGGGATCAATTTTAAATTATTTTAAATTTTCTTTCAAATATTTTAAATAATGGTTATTTCTAAAATAGAAACATCAGCTTTTTCCTTTAATTTGCAACAATTTGTTTAAATAAAATGACAGGATAATTGACACAACTTACATTACTAAGGAGAGAAAAGTTTCTAAAATTAGTCGATGTCCTAACTGGCCAACAAATAATCTGAGTTCTTCCTGTAACTTTTTGTTTTTCATTTAAAACTAGTCCCTAAAACGAATCAACTTTTGTTAATAAGATGGATAGAGAGCTTTCCATTCATTTTAGAATTTGAAGTCCAGGATATCTTGTTATCAAAATCTATCTAGCAAATTATCAGTTCTTTTCCTCTTACTGCCATTACTAGAGTAATCTCAGGAAAAATACTGAGAAAAACAGTTTATTTTTGTCTGCCTTTTAAGTATTTTTTCCAATGTCCTATGGAATAATATCTGCTAACATGCAAGCCAAATCAATTGTGGAGACTAACAATATAATCAAAGAAATCAAGAACACATATTAGGTGACGGCTCCCCGTATCTGCCGAGTAATTCATTAGACTATTAGAATTTACAAATGTCGAGTTGCTACTAGACATAAAACAAATTGCTAAATATTGAGAAAGCAACCAAATCCTTTTTGTTCAAGAGCTTCCAGCCTAGTAGAGAATTATAATGCCTACATAAATCACTACAATAAATGGCAAAAGGTGACATGTGTTCTTAAAAGAGTACAAAGAGGGCACCTGGGTGGCTCAGTTGGTTAAGCGACTGCCTTCGGCTCAGGTCATGATCCTGGAGTCCCGGGATCGAGTCCCGCATCGGGCTCCCTGCTCGGCAGGGAGTCTGCCTCTCCCTCTGACCCTCCCCCCTCTCATGTGCTCTCTGTCTCTCTCATTCTCTCTGTCTCAAATAAATAAATAAAATCTTTAAAAAAAAAAAAAGAGTACAAAGAAAGCCCTCCTAGAAATTCCTTCCACCTCGGAAAGAAGGAATTTGAGCTCATAGCTGGGCATTCCCTCACCTGCTAGGTTGGGTAGACATATTAATCCAAGACACCCACAAATATCCCTCAAATGGACATTTAATATAACTCATGTTTATTCATTGTGTAAAGCATCAATAAATACCCTTGAACCTTCACCTTGTTTAACTCTGTTTTCCCCCACTGTCATATATGTATGTACGTATGTATTTATATATGTATGTACACATGTATGTATACGTGATGGAATAGTTAAAAGCATGTGCTTTGGAGTCAGAGAGACTTAGTCGTGTAGGTTATTTAACTTTTGTAAGCTTCAGTTTTCTCGTCTATAACGTACTGACAACCTTAGAACTCTACACATAAGATTATCGTGAGGATTAAATGAAATTGCAGAGTGGCAGGCATCTGGTAAGCATTCAGTAAATGTTACTACTATATTTGCTGTTACTGTGCTGCTTCTTTTAAGTATGAGATTTTGAGCTCCTTTAGGGCAGGGCCCATTTATTTTTCGTTTTTAAAACTTATTCAAAACAGAATTCTAGGGCGCCTGGGTGGCTCAGTCGTTAGGCGTCTGCCTTCGGCTCAGGTCATGATCCCAGGGTCCTGGGATCGAGTCCCACATCGGGCTCCCTGCTCGGCGGGAAGCCTGCTTCTCCCTCTCCCACTCCCCCTGCTTGTGTTTCTGCTCTCGCTATCTCTCTGTCAAATAAATAAATAAAATCTTTTAAAAAAAAAAAAAAACAGAATTCTAGATTTTGAATAAATCTTGATAGATCTATGTTGCTTTGACTTTTAAACTTTTGAACGTATTCCCTCTGAGAGTGATGAAATCTGAGGATAAGCCCAGCACAGAGTATTTTTCCATCATATATTCTATTTCTGACTTATCACATACATACCAGTTAGGGGGTCTTTCCAAATGGATTTTAATTGGTATGGCTCTTGGTGACATGGGCACTTAGCTGGTGAGCCATGTATCACAGCAGGGTCTGGGAGACTAACTCATCACTCACAGCTGAGAAGGCACAAACATTCCACATTGTTGTTTAGCCACCCAGTGGCTGGTAGGTGATTTTTTTTTTTTCCTCTCAAAATCTGTCATCATGCATCCAACCAGGCAAAGTATTTTAAGTTTATTTTGAAAGAACATCAAATCCTCAAGAATGCTGGTAAATGTGAGATATTTTTCTTTAGCATAGTAGTTCAACAATAAAGAGACCTTTAGCCAGCTTTTTCTCCTGAACAATGTTCAGCGATCTCCCAATTTCTTAATTCATAATATCCATTGACTGCATGCCAGGGCATAGTGAAAACAAGAGAAATTGATGTAGGCGATTGGTATGTTCATTTTTAAAAATGGACTTTGCTTTTATTTTATTGTGCTTTAGAATTGCAACAAAAGAAGATGTAGTTAGTGATTGTTCCCATTCCCAACAGCAGCGTGGTTTTCTCACCCTAAATTATATAACACTGAACTGCCAGAGAACTATGCAGGAGACCCGTGGTATTCACAGATTTAACACTCTAGGTTTTGAATATTTGCAATCGACCATGAAGGTTTGTGATGTGTTAATTGGCAGTTTTGCTGAGGTTCAAATTTGAATCACATGTACTTTGAAGCTAGCGTTAGGGAGCGATTGAGGAGCTAGTGGGTTAACCTAGTCAGCCACTCAACATCCCTCTCCAATCAGATGTTTTTGTTTCCTACTCCTGACCTAGGAAGTAATTCTTAGAGTGATGGAAAACTTGGTTTCTGTGAAAAAGAAAAAATAGTCCTCATATGAAAAATAAAATGAATAAATCTTTCAAAAACATTTGCTTGGTTTGGGAAGATAATATGTTTTGGAAATCCACGTCTCAAGGGGGGAAGAAAAACCAACCTAATTATTTAAAAAGTGAGGACCCTTTGCAAGTATCTCCATATTCACATATTTGGAGATTTTTAATATCTCAGGATTTATCTCTTATAAATATCAAGGATTTCTAAACATGTAGTTTAGAGGGTTTGGATGAGATTTTAAAATACGACAAGATCTCTTTTGCTTTGATTCTAATGCTGTTGAAATATGGTGACTAAGTGCCAGGCTACAAGAGTTCTGTCCTCTTACGAAGGCTCTCCGTGGCTTGACTTGCTCCTGAAGCAGCCCATGCCACCTGTGAGCAGTCCCTTGTGGCCAAGCTGTGGCCTTGAAGTGGCACATTCTGAGAATGTGAAATCTTAGGGTTTGGCAAGCTCTTCCATCGTTTGGCCCTGAGGAAAAAGGTGCTCCACCTGATGCTGCCAGTGAGCTCAGATCTCTGGGTATCAGTACTCAGCACTTAGCAGATGGGGCTGAGGCCAGGGGGCCCTAACACCACGCTGTGTGTAACAAAGCCTTCTCTGATACACCGTAAAATAAGAAGGCAGCAGTTTTTATAAAGCTTAAGTGTGTTCAATTTAAAGGGATGTTCCTTATTAATTTTTTACGTTAAAATGTCCTTTTTAATAAAATGATGGAGAGAGTAGCTGATAGGAATTTTTTGTCTGATGTTTCTTGCTTGGTAAGACTAGAAGTTGGCAACTTTCTGTAAATCCCCCCAAATTGTTTGAAATTTTGCATATCTGGGAACTCTGAGAGGCTATGTCTAGTTGGCAGGTTCTAAGTTCAGCAAGGGAGAAACTTCTCTAGAGAGCACAAGTTACTGCCCTCTATCAGAAAGAGACAGAGTGTGGCCTCCAGGCTTTTTGCACAAGTGCATCTGAGTCCTCGGGTCACACCTGAAACCAGCTCTTCTGTGGCAGTGTGTTTCATTGCCACTCAAGCTATTGGACCAGCTGTGTTTACATATATGGAGTCATTCAAAGCAAGTGATCTTTGTTCTGATAACAATGGAGGGAGTTGTACTCTGCATTCATAAGCTGCATCAAAAAAATCCATTCTTGGCTATCATCCAAAAATGACAATTGCAAAAATAAGATTGAATCAGTGATTTATTTTGTATCTTTTCTTTTAGTTTTAGTACTTCTGCTTTTATAAGACTCACACAATACTTAAAGAATGCTGAGATTTATAAATTAAGAGAAACATTAGGCAATAATTTTTAAAGCCTATTAAAAATTTAAATATAGCAGTTAGGCTGAAGACCAGATGGGCTGTCAGAGAGCCATATTTGTCAGATAACAAAACTTGAGCTCACAAGAGATTATTCTTGAAAACCTGCATCTTCACCTGTGGTTTATCACAGTGGAATGTTGACATATCGGTTACCGTGCTGTGGAGTCAGAATGCAGCACCTTAGACCTGATCCCCAGAAAGGGCCTTTAAATTTAGACTTCCTTGATAAAGAAGAGAAGTAGACTAGAATTACATGAGAGCATAAGGTGGACATCAGAGTATAAGTTAAACACTATCTAAATAAAACAGATATGCAAAAAGTCAAGAGGGTTACAAGAGTAACAGAATATATCCAACACATTTTTAAGACTGATTATACATATAACATAATTACATATGGCAAAATGAAATACAGGCAGCCTCCAAATCTACCTACATTCCCAGTAAAGGTTACATAAGTAAGAAAGACGTAAGTCAAATCTGATTTCCTGGTAGAAACAGTTATAATAGGGGATTATATGCCTCACCAAGAGCATGATGCCTAACATTTTCTAGAAATCACCAGAAATCATAAATAATCAAAGCACATGCTGTGTATACATAGTGTAATGCTTTCTGAAATGGATATAAACCAAGAGGGCAGTCCTTCAGGTCCCAGTCTTAGAGACAAGCTCTGTCTAGACTGGAGCCCCTTGACTTAGACAGGGATGGATTCTGGACAAGCTCTCTGAAGGCACGTGGCCACCGACTTTGAAGACGCCAAAGTCTCTGACCTGACAGGAAATGTAGATTGTCCTTCTTCAAACAAGACCCCATGCCAGGTCCTGTGAGGATGACACCAAATAAGGTAGAAAACAATGGTCATCCCAGAAATATAAAAGTAAGAAATCTTAGTTACAGAAATATAAAAATAGAAATGACACAACAATTTAAGTATTTCAGTGCCACTTGAGGTTTCATATTCTGAGAGATGTCTTTGGTTTCCTTGTCATGAATTCTATCTTTATAGCAAAAACATGGGTCTACATATTTTAAAAAGAATTTTAAGCAACTAAGAAAGTTAAAACCCTAATATACCCTTGGGAGAAGAAATATGTAAACATAGGCCATCCAAAGATAAATTGCCATCCTTGTTAAACATTTGGATAATATAGAAATAATACGATGAGAGTAGACTCTCCCTGGGATTTTTACAAATCTAGCTCTGTTTTGTGATCACTAGTATTTTATTTTAACATCCTTTTCCAGTGTTGATAGGTGAAAAATTCCTAAATTGGGAATGACCTTCAAAACAGATACCATTTTAAAAGCAATAATTTTTGAAGGGCTATTGAAAACTCCTTCAAAATAATAATAATAACAATAACAATAATAATAATAAATGAAGAAGGCAAGAGGAAACTTTTGAAGTGATGGATATATTTAAGAGATAGATTGTGATGATGGTTTCACAGGTATGTACTTATTTCCAAACTCACCAAGTCATATACATCAAACATGTACAGCTGTCTGCATGTCAGTCATACCTCAACAAAATGGTTTGAAAAAAGGGAAAAGAAAGAAGGTTCCTTAAAAAACAAGCTCTTCCACTCGTGAGACTGTCGAAAGGAGAGGGAGAAGCATGTGCCTACCCTGACAATTCCCAGAGGGAGGAAGAATTTTTAATTGTTGGAAATATGACAGAAATGCTAAAAGGAACCAAGAGAGAAAACCAAGACAAGGAAACTTGAATTGTGTTATCTAGAGAGAAGCCCCACTATTGCATTTCCAAATAAATCCGTGTAACTGCAGACCTTTTAGTAACGCCCTATCATCTATGTTCCCTGTCTCTTCAGCTGCAACTACACCAAGTGATGTCGCATCAAGTGACATCATATTGCTTTGTAAAGGAAGGATACCATAGAGACAATCCAGCGGGTGGATTTTTATCACCTTTAATAGTAACTATCATTTGCGGGTACTTAGCCAGGCATTGTGCTAGCCTTGTGCGTGCATTACTCATCTTCTAAACAACCCTAAATTCCAACTTCTATGGCTGTCTCATGTTCCAAACATGGAAGCTGAGATTTAGAGCAGTCGAGTAACCTTCCCCCTGTCACAGAATCTGGAGAGATTGGGACCCAGGTCTGTCTGAAAGCAACTTTCAAGCAACTTGTGTGCTTTTGTTCTAGCCACATGGATCACAGATGTAGTATCAAAAATGAATTCATTCGTATTTAAGCCCAAGTCACCATCAGTTTACTGATTTGGGCTTTCTGTTTGTGCTTTAAGGCTGTCGGTACTAATAGAAAGTGACACAGGGGCCCCTCTCCTTGCTCATCTCGACACTAACATTGATACTGGGTACATCTCTCCTGCTTGCTGGTTCTCCAAAGCCCAAGGCGAATGTACAAAGCCAGTAAACAAAGGTTATTGCAGTGGGCGATGCCCCCAGGCCGCAGAAGTGTGAAGAGCCCGTTGGAATCCTAAACATTCTTAGAGTAAGGGATCTGCAGGCAGCTACACGCTTTGCCACGCTCCAAAAGTCAGTGAAACGGTGCCACAGGAGTTGGCCTAGATGTGGGTCAGGGTTACAACAGCCTCGTCACAGCAGCATTTTCAGCACCAGATGTCCAGTAGAAAAGGGTTAAAACCTCAGAGCTGAAGCCTGTTTTGCCACCACCTCACAAAGTGCCCTGGTGAGACAATCCTCTGTGATTACCTCATTATTCATCACCTCCCAGCAGATACCAGTGGGCTTGATTTGCTGGGCTAGAAATCCTTTTGGGTGTCATGTGTCAGCTAAACAGGCTTAGTTACAATAGAGCCTGATTAGTTTTCACCTTGGCCTCATAAAATGTGGCATATGTATTAGCATAATGGATTAGGAGGAAAAGAGCATTCACTACAAGAAGTGAGTAAGTGTAGTCCTGGGATTTATACATTTGATCTTTGGTGTATTTGACTCACTCCAACTTTTCAAGATTTGACGCCTCCTTTCTCCCTGAAAATAACTCATTTCAAATTCTCACTTCTTACTTTTATGCTGATTTTGCCCGGGTACTGCACAGAATTTATGGACTTGATCTTCATAGCCTCTCTCTAAGGCAAATCTCTGTACCACAATCTATTTTCCACTCTAAGAGGAGGTACGTGTGGACACAGACCTTAAGTGATATACATGCAACCATTCTGTGAATGCAGAACAAAATCAAAATAAGAAGTCAGGATTTTCTCTTGGTAGGTATCTTCGGGGCCCACAGATGTGGAACTTTTCTCTGATTGGAATACAGTGTGGCAGCATTTCCGCCTTGAACTCCATTCCATTTTTTAAAATCACTTCCTATATCAAAGTTATATTACGAAGCACTATGGGAGCGATCAGACAGATTCAATTTAAAATCCCTAACCTGGGAATATCAAGTCCACTAAAAAATTAACAAGCATAGGAATCACTGAATAATAAAATAGAACAAAATTAGAAAGCTTAGACTAAGACAGAAGAAAGAACTAACACTTGAGCATCTCCAGCATGCCTGGTATCAGGCCATAATTGTTTATACTTATAATGTAAGTGGTAGCTACATCGTTATAAACAGAAATGTCATCACACAGTATTGGCATGTTAGAGACATTGGCTCCTGTTCAGAGATACTGACTGGGTGGCACACATTGGGCTGAATGCATCACGTGCCTTGCCTCAGATAATCCTCATGCCAATAGGTCCCTTCTTAGAGATACAGAAATTCTGTCAAGATAAAGAAATAACTTGTCAAGGGAGTAAGTGACAGAGCCTAGAGCTGATTTTTGGTTGGTGGGACTCCAAGGCCTGACCCTTTCCACCATGCCACAGTGCCTCTTGAGCAGTGAAATGGAGTCAGTATGTGGAGGTTGGAAGAACAGGACAGGCAAAGGGAACAACATAAGCAAAGCCCCAGAGGACAGAAAGCATGGGAATTGTTCAGAGAATAGACAGCAGCCCACCCCAGTTAGGAGCTTGGGACAAAAATAGTGAGAGATAGGGGTGCCTGGGTGGTTCAGTCAGTTAAACGTCTGCCTTTGGCTCAGGTCATGATCCCAGGGTCCTGGGATGGGGGACCGCATCAGCCTCCGTGTTCAGTAGGGAGTCTGCTTCTCCCTCTCCCTCTGCCCCTACCTCATTCCGCTTGTGCACTCTCTGTCTCACTCTCTCTCTCTAATAAATAAAATCTTTAAAAACATAGTGGGAGAATAAACTAGAAAGGAAATTAGGCCAACTCAAGAACATCATGCAACCCAGAATGAGAGTGGGCACTTCCTTTGGTTGCAATAGTTAGCCATCAGAGACATTTGAGCAAGACAGCAATATGACAGAATTATACTTTGGGAACATTAGTCGGACAGGAATGTACAACTCAGATCATTATTTTGCCAACTTTCTTTGATCACAACCAACAGTAAGAAATATATTTTTCATTGCAACTTGGTACATACATATTTAAAATATACATTTCTAATTGAAATAAAATTTGTACTAGTTAATATTTTTTCTGTATGCAAAGGCTCATACTTTATTCTATTTCTGGTTTTTTTTAGATAGCCTGATTATAATTGATTTTCACAACTCACTGATTGTTTGCAGCCCACAGTAGGAAAAACACTGGCTTAGATCATAGTTGGGAAAGATGGGAAGAGGTGGACAAACCAATGATAGGCTGTTGTAGAAATCAAGGCTACAACTAGGGAAATGGGAGGAGCATATAAAAATAGATATTCCCAAAGGGAATGAGTTAGTAATTTAAGGGACTCCAAAGCTGATGGCCATTAACAGAAGTTGGGCAGATGGGTGGAGAAACTGAGTTTGATTTTGGACATGCTGAGTTTCCGGTTCCAAGAGGTATCAAGCAGACATTTGAGAGTAAGAACCTGTGGCCCAAGGTAGACTTTGGGGCTAGAGTATCATGCGTTGCCATCTGTACAGAGTAGTAGTTGAAGTTGAAGACAGTACATAATGTCCAAGTGAAAGAAGGGAAAGTCTGAGGACAGATGTTTTTGAACACATATGTCTGGTGAGTAACAGAGGAAAAGGATACACAGGAGGAGCCAGAAAACAAAACCACAGCAGGAAAACCAAAATGGTGCACTGTATAACCTTTTTCCTCTTCTTTTTTACTTTTTCATCTTTTCTAGTATAATCTTGGTTTTCCCAGGCTACCACTGACTGGAAGCAAAACAGTAAACAATGGTATATGGTGTTAGCTTCCACTCTGGGGCACCCATCTGCTAAATCACGGGGACTTTTTTCCTTAAGACCTCTAGTCCTAGTCATCTTCTGCTGTGTAACAAACTACCCCAAAACACTGGGGCTTGAAACAACCATGATATTTCATTCACCCTTTTTTGGGCCAGGAATTTGGGAAGGGCTTGGCCTGTTGCTTCCTTTCTGCTCCATATGGTCAGGTAAGGTAGCTGGAGCTAGATGATCATTTCCAAGGTGGTCTCTTCACACACGTTTGGTGACTCAGGGCTCCTTGGCATTTAGCTCTCTCCACATAGGAGGGTTTCATCCTCAAAGCCTCTTCATAGAGCCTGGGCCTCTCAGAAAATGGTGGCCTCAAGATAATCAGACCTCTTATGGGACAGCTCAGGGCACCAAGAGCAAGCATTTCAAAATACAGGAAGTGGAGGGGCGCCTGACTGACTCAGTCGGTTAAGCGTCTGCCTTTCAACTCAGGTCATGATCCCAGGGTCCTGGGATGGAGTCCCACATCGGGTTCCTTGCTCAGTGGGGAACCTGCTTCTCCCTCTCCCTCTGCTGCTCCCCCTGCTTGTGCTCTCTCTCTCTCTGTCAAGTAAATGAATAAAACCTTTAAAAAAATACAGAAAGTGGAAGCTTCCTGTTGCCTAAGGCCTGGGCCCAAAAACTGGCCCAGTGCCACTTCTACCATATTCTAGTGGTCAAAGTAGTTATAGAGCCCATTCAGATTTAAAGAGAAGGAACACAGAGTTACCTGTTCAACTAGATCCAGAAGTCTATACAAAGGGTCTCACATGGGCTCAAGAGCAAGATGGCTAGTTAATTTGTGGTCCACCATGTTCTTCCTCCGGGTTCAGGTACCCTGAGCAGAAGGGCTCCCGCAACATGCGAAGCCACATGGGGAGCCTTGTCACAGACCCTGTTAGGGGCCCTGCCATCCAAACAACACTTAAGAGCGCTTCTCCCATTACTGTAAAAGCTGTTTATGTTCACAGCCACCCTGTTGGTAAGTGCTTCCTCTGGGGTCAGTGCCTGAATTTTTGGAACTCCAGGTCCAACAAAGCCATGCTGAGTCTTGCGCCAGCATATATATGTATATATATGTGTTACAGTGTAAGTTTAAAATCCCTTTCGTTACGTTATCTTGGTCTCCAATCAGAAGCGGCTTGAGCTTTAATGTCTCATGGAGATTATATATGAAAACCACTCCTCTTGGACTTATTTTTTTTTCTCCATTGAGTCTGTTTTTAGTAGGAGTCCCCAGGACTCAGACCCAGTTTCTATGGCCGGAGGAGCAATCTCAATGAGAGACAGCACTCTGACCCAGGGCTGAGGCATTGTTATTAGAACAAAGGAAGGTGCCTACATGGCTCTTCCCTTGGGATGCATTTTGTCCTGGGAGGCTACACAGTGTCTGTGGTAATGGATTTGATAGGACTGCTTTTTCTGGTCTTCTCCTTGTGCCTGAATGTGTCTGGCTCCTATGTGAGCACCACTTCAAATCCAACAGAGACCCCACCCCAGCAGTGAACATCTGTGTCAAGCCCAACATCCCCACCCAAATACCTGAGGCAGTCCAGCAAGCATTTCTTCTCCAGCTCAAGGTTCTTCCTGGTCTCACCTCCAGTGGTGGAGTGACTAAAAGACACATAGTTCTTGTTGAAAGCATTCATCACCTTTCTATTCATTAGTTATTTTCTACTAGTATAATATCCTCTCTCCCCCATGGACTATAAGCTCCATAAGGACAGGGCAGAGCTTGTGTGATTCGCCCCAGTATCTCCAGCACCACCCAAGCACAGCTTAGCAACACTCCATAAATATTTGTCCCATGAACAAGAGAGAATGAACGAATGAGCAAATAAATGAGTGTTCTCTCTGTCCTAAATCTTTCCAGAGAAAAACCTTAATCTGGGCCACTGTGGTACTATTCAGTCCCATCCCAGAATCAGTGTATCAATTTTTTATTGGGTGTTTGGAAGTCTACATTAAATATAACTTAATTAGCATGTTTCACTTGTTTTATAAAATTACGGTGTTACTTTTTGAAATTCTGAGACCTAATCTCTTTGCTTTGCATGGTTTAATGCAGGCTCTTTAAACTAAAGAGAGATAGTCATGACATGATGTTTACCTTCTTACAGGAGTCATAAGCTCATGCATCCACATAACTACCAGGGTCTATATAATTTCAGTAATGGGCCTATGTTTGCTAAATTGTCTGAGTAAG